TGGTCTATGTTTTTAAGTTTCCGTAGAAAGTCTGTAGTGTCTTGTACAAAACTTGCTCTGTGGATGACAAGCGGTTTTAGGATTGATTCAACGAAACCTGATATTTCCTCAGGTAGGGTCCCATGGTTGGATATGATCGGTCTGCCAGGGTTCCTTTTTTTGTGGATTTTAGGGAGCATGTAAAAAGTCCCCAGGTTAGGTAGTGAGGGGATCAAGGTGTGTAGTTTTTTTTTTTTTTTGTAGTCTTGATGGAAATGATTTGATGGTATTGTTGAGTTTCTTGGTGAAAAGGGGAGTAGGATCTTCTTGTAGTTCTTTGTAGTAGGTGGTGTCAGAGAGCTCTCTCTTGGGGTTTTTGGGGGTTTTTTTTTTTTAGTAAAGATGATAAAGGGTGGCCTAATTTGATATATATAAAGATTTTCATGCTTATTCTTTCAGGAGTCTTTTTGTTTCATGTATAGTAATAATAGCTATCAGCATCAACTGAGGGGAGAATATCCTTAGAATATAGATGCCAAAACTTTGTGACAGCAGGGCTTCACTGTCAGCTTGTCAAGAGCCTGAGGATCATGTCATTTTGTGTATGCAAATGTCTGGTATAAATGCACACAGTCTTTGATTTTATTCCTTGATAGGATTTGCTGTTTGCTTTAGTTCACAACCATTAGAAAATTGTAGATGAGCTTTGTTCTCATTGGGTAAGTACAAACATTTGGGCAGGTTAAATTAGGTTAAAAACGGCCACCTGATTTAAACTTGGCTCATCCTGGTGCTGTCTCAGTGAGCACCAATCAGTCTAAACCTGTAACTGTACAGAAGTACATGAACACAAAATGGTCTAAAAATTGCAGAACCCACTTTATGATAAACCTGGATCGATATAGTATCAGACTTGCTCAATTTTAGATCAAACTGGTGCATGGATCTTCTGTCCACTTCCTCTGCATAGCCAAGGGGCTGGAAAAACCCAACTACTGGCCCAAGCCCCAGGGCTGGTCTTTTCACTCCTCTCCTCCCCCCACACTAGTCTCTCTTTTCATCCCCACCCCCCTGCCCCCCAGCCCTCTCAACCGCCATCTCACGCTTTTATCAGCATTCACTACTGCTGGAGCCATGTAAGTCCTGGTGGGGGGAGGGGTGGGAGGAATGGGGGTGTAGGTTTGCTGGGGGAGACCCCATCCCACCCAGCAGTTGCACCTGCCCCCCCCCACGCCACCCACCGGTCGTACCTGCCTCCCCTACTTCCCGCGGGTGGTGCCTGCCCCCCATACCCCACATGCAGATTGTGCCTAGCCCCCCCATCGTGACTTACCTGATATCGGGCAGCCATTTTGAATCTATTATAACCTCCCCCTAATGCTTCTGAATGTCTGTACTTGGCC